ACTGTACGTTGAACGACGTGTCCGTGCAAGCCGTCAAATTCGCCAACATTGAATTTCGCAGTTCCCAATTTTTCGGTCATTTTCTGTGATTTTTCGTGTTCTCCTCCTAGGGAATTCATCGGATCAAAAAACATTGCTATTTGTGACTATATGTTGAATCGCTGCTTGCAGCTTTGATTTAGTTTAGTTCAGTTTACTTTTATTAGTTTATATATGTTTTTTTCCATTCACACACACACACAAAAAAAACTAAAAATAAATGTGGATTGATGAAGAAAATTCAAATGTTCCAGACTTGCTAACCAAATGACATGTGGCAGCTGACTCGGACTTTAATAAACTCACACCACCACAGCAAACCTAAACTGGACTTGAATGATTTTTCTTCGACAGTATTAACGCAGCCATCCTTACCTCTTTCTTGCAATGCAGGAAGGTGTGGTACTTGTAGTGGTGAAGGGAATGATACAGACTGTAGATCCGACAAGTTTCAATTGAGAGCTTCAGATCCTGAAAAAAAAAAAGACAAAAAGGATTGAAGGATTTTGAAGAAAACTGATAGTGGGTAACCCAAATAATAAATAAACAACAACTAAAAACATTCTTCTTCATACTTAATGAAAAAAAGTGCCAGCTGAGTTAGGTAATGAAAAAGTCCAAAACAACAAACTTTCTCTCTTCCCTCTAATCTCTCTGAGATTTCTATATAGATTTCTATATATGTATATATATATATATCCCCTTTCAAGTGCAAAGAAGAAACTATGGTGGCCAAGAAAGATGAGCCAGTGTTTGGTTTGTCTGTTCTTGGTTACTGTAGAAACACGGCGGTTCAACATGGTGGACTACATGGTACTACAAGTAAGTAGGGCTGACCGATAAATTGTATTGAGACTGACATAAGAAAAATAATAATAACATCTTTCACGCTGTAGCTTCTCATACCTTTTCCACCAACAGGGAGCCGGCTCCAGTTCAAGCACCTAGTTTTGAACAGTTTGAGCATTTTGACCAAATTTGATTTATTTTATTGATATTTTGGATTTGTTTCAAGCAGGTTACCATTGAGTTTATATTGTGACTTTGCTGGTGTAAACATTACTGTTACTGTTACATTTAGTTAAAATATTAAATTCTAATTCAGTTCTTTATTTAAAGATAACCAGGCAGATTTAGAGACTGTATAACTAATATGCACACTTCAATATTTGTTTATTTATTGCAAGTCATATCATCATTGCAATATTGAACAGTGTTTTCGCTCATTTTCCTCTAATGGTGCAGTCCTAATTTTAAGGTAACAAAAACATTACAATTACTATATTGATGATGGTGATTATGCACTAATGGAAACATACCTATGAATATTATATTCTATTTCTGCTAAGAGATCCTCCTTAATGTTACACACTGGACCTTTGCTCCCGATGCATAGTGTGAATGTGTATGAATGAGTTAGTTTCTGTTCGATGGACTTTGCCATGTGTGAAAGGGTGAATGTGGCACGTAGTGTAAAAAGTGCT